TAGTTTTGGCTGATGAGCGGCCACAGCTGGCAATGTTACCGGAATGTGCCGCCCCCAGAAAAGGAACAGTGAAAACCCCATGGCCCGCTCCCTCAAAGTGAACTGGTAGGCAAGTAGTACTTGCCACATGAGGAAGCTGCGTGTCACATAATCAAAACTGAGACAAGCTCAACCTGCAGGGTGCTCTTTATGTTTTTATGTGCGGATCCCATTAATTTATTGCCGTAGACATTGAGACACCTCCAGCCGAACAAAAGGCGACATTATTATTTCATTATTATGCCAAACGCATCAGCATCCCGCCCCTTCTCCCAAATGCACGTGGGCAGGCTCATATTACATACGGTGGGGAGTCCACGGAGGATGGCACCGCGGTGGAGGCTTTTCGACGTGGCAGATGATTCATGCGATGGCAAATTTTTTGACGCCCGCCACATAAATAAAATAGGCTGCCCGGGGAGCTCAGACATATGTTTGGATAGTCCCGGGTCAAAGGGCCCAGTTCGGAGGCTGTAATATTCACTCGTAAATATTTTTATAGGCACTAAGGCTTCCGCTCAGGATGAACAAAGCGCGAAGAGTTCACAAGGGCAGGTGTTCCATGGAATTAAATAAATATTTGTTACGAAAGGGCAACCTGTCTCTCTTTATTTGGGAAATTGTGGAAAAATCACGAGCCACATATCCTGCAACGCGTTCGCCATGAAGCACTTAGTTAATTAAGTCCGTGCCACTGATTTGTATTTGAGGTTTGGTATACCCACTATTTGTAAGCACTGTAAAGTTTTACCAATGCTAATGAGCTGGTTCTTTCCAAGGTTTTTTTTTTCGGAACTCTAGAGTCAAACGATTTAAGCCGCACGCAGATTTCCAAAAACTGCACCTCAAAGCCCTTTCTTATCAGACAATTCCCTATTACCACCAATCCCTGGTTAATAAAAATGTTAGCCAACATCTAAACCTCTAGTCAATCCTAAATACCCAGATTTTTTGGATGCGTCTTTGCCTTCAGATTGTTAATAAAAAGGCGAATATTATTATTTTTGGCAATACCGCGATTATAGACATCCATTTAAATGGGTTTTCAATGAGTTATTGGCACTTAAATTCGTTATAACGATTGACTGTTTTTTTCCACTCCCAATTTGTTCAATGCATTGGCAATTTGCCAAATTCAACCGAGTAAATACCATCCCGCTGGAGCACCCACAAACATACCACCTCTGCGAGGAACTTTCGACTCCTGCTGCTAATCCTTTCGTGCGTGCGCGTGTGAGAGTAAACCATTTAGCGCCAATTAAAACATAATTGCGGCATTCGCGGATAGCGATCGGCACTAAATCATTCTCGGGCCTATTCGAGTTCCATGTTGGCAGGACGGGAATAGCGGCACATATACACACACACACGTACATACATATGTCGAGCAATCGCAACAAATGGCAAATGGCAAAAAGCGCGGGCGGAAACGCGAAAGCACTTGGGCGCCATTCACCGAATAATGGCTTCAATTCAATCCGAGGCTCAGCTCACTTTAATCTTGTGCCACTGGGGGCGTTGATTAAAAACACAAGACCGCACTGGCAAACATTTCACTTTTAAGAACGTAATTCCGACGGGAGATTTTGGCCGGGAGTCTCGAGCACAGAAACCACCCGCTATAACAACCACACTCCGCCGGCTAAGAGCACTAACTGCCATTTCCGCGAGATTCTTTTGGGGACTTCATCCCCGGAGTGGCGGCTTTCGATCAGCTGATTGGGGGTAAAACGGAAGTACCGGAAACGGGGATGGAACGTATTCAAAATTGGCGGGCTTCTAACTCCCTGTATTAATGCATAACAAAATATGATGATAAAGTAATTTATAACTCTCATTGCTGAAATTCGCCAATGTTCCAACAGATGGAATACAAAGAGCTTTCTTCGTCGTTTTAGGTGCTATAATTTAATGTGGTGTTTTTAAGATTTATAATTCTTTTCGATAGTTCTCCGCCAATACAAGTCCAAACAAATCCCATCCCTATCAGATATCTTTTGACAAGCCCCGAACGGTCACACCACGCATCACATTTTTAATTGTTTCGTTTCGCCTTCCATTGTTTCTCGTATTCGCCGAATTAATCAAAATGCCAGCGGTTGTGCGGATCAAGCGACGCATCGACGAGGAGCCACACACCGCATTCGTGCTGAACGGCAAGCGACGGCGTCTCCACAACGATGAGAATGCTCCGGAGGACTCGGGGGCGGTGGCGGGAGCAGCGGCATCGGACAAAGACGAACTGACCACCGTGCTCAAGTTCGCCGGCACGCTGGAGAAGCAGGTGGGATTGGGGGATTCGAGTCTTCAAAGCACCCGTAGACTTAATGCCCATGCCGGCCAATACCTTCTGTATATTGCAAATCCTAATGCTAAAAAAAAGGTCAGCCTGCTCATCTTTGAGATGTAAAACGAAATGGGCTGTGCGTTTGCTGCTCAATTTGGCCGAAAAACACTCAGTGAACTGATTTGCGATTCCCCCAATGATCCTTAACCAATAGCTTATCTAAGGAAATATATGAGGGCAACTTCTATAATTCTTATCAGTTAAACGTAATGATCTTTAACCTTAGCCAGGGGTACTAGCCTCTTATCTGTAAGGTGAATGCACATTTATCATAACGAAAGGCATTTCACTACCGCAATAAGGAATTTAATAAAAGGTAGCTCTGTCGTTATTGGTAATAGGGATAAGTCCTTCTGCACAAGTCACTATAAGGTTAACGACTTTTTTGTTTCCTAACGTTGATTTGTATGCCTCTTTCCTAGGACGACTGTGCCACTCGCCAATTTGCCGCTGCCAGACTGAACAAGGCCGCAGCCCGCGAGCTGGTGCAACAGCAGCGTTCCAACGATGCAGCCATTGCCAGTGCGCTGCGGCGAGATCGTCAGCGCCAGGAGGCCCAGGAAAATGCCAGGGAGCAGCGTTTCCGGGTGGTGAACTGCCTCCGCAGCACCCTCGAAAATAGTGCCGCAGAAGCGGACTTCCCAGAGAGCCAAAGTCAGGAGTCCAGCAGCCACATAACGATCGTGGACATTGAATCGCAGCAGCAGCAGCAAACGGGCACTGAAAACGCAGCAGCACAGGAGCAGCAGCTGGAGATAGAACCCAGCCACGATCAGCAGCAACCAGCCGATTCGGACGTGGGCTACGTTTACGATCTGTATGTTCCCGAGAACGAGATGCAGGCGGCTTATGTGGATATGATGGACGACAACTACTTAAGGTTTGTCATTCAAATTGAGCCACAGAAAACGTTGAGCATTACCAACTACTACATGTAACCGATCACTATACTTATGTACTATACGGAATATATCTAAGCGGTGTGTCTGTGTCTCGGTGCTAGCGTATCTGTGTGGGTGTGCGTGTGTCTGTGTTCGTTGCCCTCGGGCGCAGTCTCATACTTGCATATTACATTTACCATCTAGACACGATTGCAATCACTACAGCTCAATAATACGATTCGTTCTCCATAAGGTTGTATTATCCGTTTAATTACTACAACAACTGCTACTGGTAAACAAGAAAAAACTAAATGGAGAGAGACAAAGCCCCAGGCACTTAGGAAGTGCGATGACACCCAATGCCCCACCCACGACAATAAAAAAGGACTGCAACTGGCAACTCACATCACTTATAGTTCATTAAAGTCACCATCTGACAAGTGCCCAAAAACTACAGATACAACGTTGTTTTTATGAGATTAACACGGCATGCTTTGAATTTGAACTAATGATTCTATAGCTATTTGATTTGTTACTGTGAGATTCCATTCAATTTGAATAAAACTATGTTATGCCATATTCCATTTATAAATATGTTAGATAAAAACTTCTAAATTTAAATAATGTATCATAATTATGTAAAGTTCTCATAATTCCCTCTTGCCAAAGTTTTTAATAAAAAAAATATGTATCCTACTAAATACGCACAATTAGTGTACTATTCGGAATCATTTTAGGCAAATGTCTCATTACCTTATGTTCATAGAATTAATTAGCTATTAGATTAGAATAGTTTATCCTCACGCACACACACACCGCACATTTAGAAACAGCTCACCGAGCATTTTTCGTTTAGTTTTTGCCAGTTGTCAGTTGCCTTTTTCGTTCGTTTTCATTCCGACAATAAACCACGGATAACACTTGTGCTGAAGTCTAATTAAGTGCATAGTTTTAGTTAATTTGCTTTATTTTTATTGGGGTCTAGCGTTGCCCGAAGTCGAATATAAACTAAATAAAGAAACCCTCAAAATACGTGACAAACTTTGCTGTGTTTCAATTCGAAAGTGCTACGCGTTCAAAGAATCGAAATAAACCTACTAATTATTTCGGCTATTCCACAGAGTGATACCTGTGGGCGAGATTGTGCTAGAAGATTGCTACAACGACCAGGACGAGGATTACGATTCGGAGGACTCAAATCAGGAGAACTACTTTACGAATGATTACCCGGACGACGAGGAAGCGGGCGCCATGGGTTCTGATGATGAATTGTGCCGGCAAATGAACAAGTTTATGCTCGGTAAGATCTGGGTAAACTGCTTTTATGGATTCCGATTATGAGTATGTGTATCTTACTTCCAGATGACGACGAGGATGAGTTTGCCAGCACCAGCGATGATGATGATTATGCCACCTTTCGCGATCCCTATGTGCACACGATCAACACTGAGGAAGACTCATTTGTGGACGATGTGGACTTTTATAATGTCGACCGGGAGAGGGGCAGCGCCTATGAGCGCTACAAGCGAAGGATTCTAAAGGAACTGGAGGAGGACCAGGAAGAACATGATGAGGATGATGATGATTCATTTGCGAGCGCTGATGACGAATGAGGGGTTGAAAAGCCAATTCATTCATCCACCATAGAGTGAAGCCAGATAAAATCTGTCTTTAATGAAATAATATAATATACTTTATCTTTTAATAACTAAAAAATTTAAGTAAATAAAAAGTGTGGTCGTGTATTTGCTATATTTAAGCTAACTCCTATCATCTATAACTTTTGCTATCTTTCTTCTCAGTCTTAATGTGTTGCAGCTGAGGCTTTGGCGCACAGCCCTCCATATAAAGGCGCAGGGTTTCCTCGTCCATCTTCTCATTTTCCTTTGGAGGCTTATAATCTGCCACATGATCGACCCGTAGTGTTCTATCGAGGATTTTGATGCCATTCAGGTTGTCCACGGCCAGAACTGTGGATCTCTGGTCCTCGTAGCACAGGAAGCAGAAGCCCTGCATAAGATTAAACAAAGATTTTAGGAACTTCTTTAAAAAGGAGGAACATTTTATTGCACAACCTTGGACTTCCCTGTTTTCGAGTCTCGAATTAGATTAATGTTGACCACTTCGCCGTACTGTGAGAATACGCAAACTATGTCACCCTCAGTTAGGGTATAAGGAAATCCTGCCACGAAAATCCAGGCTGAGTCCTTGTACATGTCGTGCCAGCTCTTCTTTCCTCCATGTTGCAGTTCATGCTCGCTCAGTTTGAGCACATTTTTCATATTTGTCAGGGGATTCATCTTCAAATTGCTTTATTTGTTTATGTTTTTGTGGGGATGTGACTGCTTGCTGCTAGCCAATAAATACTATCAGTCTGTTTTAAAATGTTTATCGATAGCAAGAAAGCAGTGCACGTTGTACTTCAGTATATTTCTTCAGCAATAGAAAAATCGTTATCGATAATAGGAACTTTTTTGTTTATTCAAGGAGTTTCTCGAAACCGAAATGCTTATATGAATAATTTGTAGAATAATTTATAAAATTCTTAACATATTTAAATAAAAAATTGTTTTTTATTGTGAGGCATGTATTTGGTATTTAATGTTTCTGAGGGGGTATTAAATAGTACATTCTTCCCAGGCCGGCGGTATTTTCATCGTTATCGTCACATTTGTTGTCGCGTTGTAAAAGGCTGCGGAACGGAACACAGTTTTTTGTGCAGTGGGACGGACTGTGAAAAATGTTGTAATATTACCACGGTGATCTATTCGAGAAAAGGTGTGTACGAGTGCGAAATGGGTTTACATAGCCACCGTCTGTCTGTTTGTGTGTCTGTGTGTGTACGGTGTGCGGTGTGCCAGTGCGTGTGCATGCTCGTGTGCGTGCCGAAGGAAAAAGATATGCTGAAAAAGTATCTCCTCTCTATTTAAAAATGTGTGTCAGTGTATTGTGCGGCACCAACGAAAATAATAAATAATAGCTGCCGCGACTGCTTGTTGGAGCGAAAGAGGAAAAAACAAACGAAAAACCGTTTGGCGTCTTTGGGGTCTTTTAATTGTGCCAAAGCCATTGTTTTACCATTTTCCCATCATCATTCAAGACGCGTTCTGTGCCGAATAACAGCGAATAACGCCCCTACTCTTCTGTTTTTTCTCCCATATTATTTTTTGCGAAGGAAGCTGAGTGTGTTTCCCTCTCTGTCTCGCGCACGTAACTATGCCTACGCCTTGCTATTGGAACAGTTGGTATGTAAAAGACATAAGTGCGATATGTCCGTTTCTCACTAGGTTTTGTCACCCTGTGGCAGCCGCACTCACACACACACACTCTCACCTGGAAGAACTCCACCATATGTCCATCCGTCTGTGTGTCTGTCTGTCTGTCTGCTGCTGCTGCTGCTGTTTTCCTTAACACATCGACATCCACACTCACATGCACATTCCACCCCATTGGCAATGTCTCTCTTCGTACAGCTGCAGTCAAAATAATAGTAATGGGCCTCTGGTTGCACGGTCGTAAGGTATCTTGCTGTCTTTATGGAGTCCTTGGTAATGGAAGCGGAAGAGCGGACAAAAGCATTCCTCCAAAGCTGCCTTCTTTTGTCCTACAATTTCAACCCCAAATACCCAGATAAGGAAACGTGCATCTTAAAACCCATGCAGTCCATGAATAGGGTTCCTCACTTGACCACGACTAGAACTTAGTTTATGTTGTCCAATTTAAAAAGTTATGTGCATTTCATATATGGCGTTCCGGAATATGATAGTAGTTCGCACAATAGCTGTGGAACAACTCATGCAAACTGCTGTCATTTGACTCATCACAATCAACCCTTTGGGAGAACTACATTCCCTAACCTTTGTTTCGAATCCTTGGGTATTACGCTTCAAAATACAGTACAGTAAGATTTCCGATTTCAGCCCGAAGCCACAAAAAGTGTTTTTTATAAGCCATTAACCTAAAACCTGAGATTACGCACGACCTTAAAATATCCCAACACGACTTTAAAGTATTGACCCGCGCTGTATGGTCGCTTGTGTCTCTTTGTTTTTGTCCACGCCAAAAGGAGAAACATGTACTTTCCTCGCTTGTTTTTAATGTTTAGGTGTGGTCGTGCCTTAGTTGCGGGCTTACACACATCCAGTTGTATGTGTTTCCTCAAGCGGAAGCGGTTGTAAAAGACTTTTCGTGGCGCTGCCCACACAGTTGACATTGAACTCGCTCCATGCTGCCCCTCCTGCTCCTCGTGCCCCATGCCCCCACCCACTCCGCCAACCGACTGATATTTTCGGCCCGCTCTGTTACTTTCCCAAAACTCCAAGCCAACTCCTGGCCTTTCATTTTTCGCTGGCCGACCACACTTACTTTTCTTCGTACCCTTTTGCAAGTAAAGTCAAGAGTTTTGTGAAAGGAGCGAGGTGTGCGATTAACGAACTAGGCGTTAAGGAGGCGGAAAATCAATTAACAAATGCTATTTGGCGTAGACTAATTCTTAGTTTTTAGGTTGGACTTCATTTCATGTTTCTACTATATTGCACCGCTGTGTAAACTTTAGTTGCGTACTTAGGGATACTGAGTTCAATAGATTTATAGCTTGTTATGCAGATCATAAATCTATAATAATGATTATTAAAGATGATAGCGACTAAGTAAGTTGGCTTTCTAAATATTATCTGAACCAATATGAACCTTCCCCGTTCTTAATATATTTTAAACTGTAATGTTGTACATATATGTAACATTCAATGCAATGGGTATTTATGTGAAGTGATGGAAAATGGCTTAGAATGGGACCCATCCATTGCTTATCCCCTCGCATCGCCGAACTTCCCCCAGTAACTTGAATTACTTCTATTCTATGAGAACATTTTGGGCCCATGTTGACTCATTTTGGCCGTTGAATGCGGGGGCTGGGTGCGGGAGCTTTCTCGTTATTATTACGAGATACGTACAGATATGTACGGCTATACGAGTATGTACATACTCGTGTACTCGTGTGGGGCTCCTACTGCGGTTATTATGTGGCTCACGTCTCTGGGAAAGATTCGCGCCGCGACTGCGCACGATTATGGCACATTTCGAGTGACGAGAGCAAAGTTGACTGCGCTGCGGCCGCCTGTTGCAGAAAACGTGTCAAGTTGGCCAGATACATCTACTCTATGTCTATATATAAGTACATTTATGTACGGCCACTATATGTGCAGCAGCAAAACCAAGCGAGCTGCCCCCTCCGCGCCCCCGCCAGCACCCGATTTCGAGTTCGATTAATTTCGTTGCGCCTCGGTAGCTGTGCACTCAACTCAAACATCCGCTCAAACGGGCAGCCAGCTCACACCGATTCCAGTGGGGAACGTTTACCTCGCCGGCGACCAGCTCATTACACCACTGCCCACAGATGCGGCAGATGCCGGTCCCCGGATTCCCATACCCCATACCTTCCAGCAAAACCCTTTCCTATCTGGGGGAGTTGCCTTCGCTCTAAACTGGGCTGGGATTGTGTTTCGTTTCATAACAGCGGTAACGAGATCCGCGAATATATTGTGAACTACTTTTGCACTAGTTCAACAGAAGGAATTTCGCATTCCCCCCTCAAAATATCGTAGGGATCAGAATTACACTAGACTGCACAGTATTGCTTCCCCTAAGTGTGTGATTTTTTATATTTATATTTAAAATGAGCAAGTTATAATTCTTAATTGATCTGTTTTTGTTTGTTTTGTTGAACAATGTAAACAGTTTACAATAGCAGACACATAAAACATTTCAAAGAAACTGCCAACAGAAAATTCGCTGTTCTACACATTTCGCCTTGTGTCTCATTGCTGTTTACACCTGTTCGAGCCGACGCCGTCGCGTTTTATATTCGCATTTTGTTTTTGTTTACATTCAAGCTAAAAATTCTTAATAAATGCTCCATATTTGGCGACTGACATGCCCCCAGCCTCGCCACTATGGTTGGAATGGTTGGCTATTTAAGTGCAAGCGGGGGAAATGCCGAACCCACACAGAGTATAAGAATTTTCGGGTTGGCGGCTTTGTAGCTGGCTGCTGATGTTGTGTTTCATATGCGTATCAAATAATTGAGCTCAATTGATTTCAATTAAAACTGACAAGTCGCTGGGGCTTTGTTGTTGCTGCTGTTATGGTTGTTAGTGCCAAGTCATATGAAACAAAAACCATCAAAATGCCTCAAAAGTGCCCTCTGTTTGCTCGATGAGCTGAGTCGAATGTGAAATGCGCTAAGAATTACTTGATAGGATGGGAAAGTTAAATTATTGAAGCAAATAAATAAATATGCTCTATTTTTTATAAACATTTATTATTCATATAGTGAGTTGGATGACTTACTTCATAGCTTAAAAATAGAATATGAAATGTAAAGTCTGTTCGATCACCGATTCCCCACTTTAATTCGCATGATCTCCGATCATCACAACAAGATTGCTGTAAGTGATTACTAAAAATATTTCGAATTTCGAAAAGCCTTATTTTTTGATAAGATGTTGCATTGTCGATCAACTATTTCCATATCTACCATTTTATCCAAGCCTCAGATAAGGAGAACCCATTTATTTGTTAGTCATCAGTGAGACAGAATAATTAGTATCAACCTATAATTTATCCATGAATCACCTGCGCAAATACACTGAATGGAATGCTGCCTTATTTAAATATTTAGAGCTCTAATAGTTTTAATTGAACATGTGTAATTTGTCATTTCTAATTAGCAATTAGTTGTGTACAGTAAAACAAACGGCGAAGTAGCAAATTTTGAAAGCAAACGCTTCTGGGTAGTATCAAGAGCTATTAAAAGATATATATAATTTATTACATTGTACTTAGTGCACAATCAACTTAAATGCAATATATTTTGCATAATTAGACTGAAAAAAATACAGTTACAGTTTTCGGGATCTTATTTTTACTCTATTTTTAGAGAAATCAAACCCGAAACAATTCGTACGAATTGCGTCCATCGAAACCATCTCAAGAATAGAAGTTTAAGAATAGCCCTTCGAAATACCAAATTCCTCTGAAGGATTCCGCAGCCGAGCCAAGATGCACCCTTTAGCTCATATGCCCGCTATTGGAAGAGCACACAATTGTCTATTAATACGAACAAGTCTCGTATGGAGGGTGATATTCTGTGTATGTTTCGCATTTGTTTATGAATTTCAACGCTTGTGCCAATTGCCCCCGTTTGTTATGGCCGTTTGTCTTATTGAAATTCAACACTTTATTTAACAATTCATATGCACGGCCACTCGGTCGGTCGCGCTCGCATAGAAATGAATAATAATTAAATTATATTGCCACTGCCACTGGCCGAGTCTGACGTTTGCTTCTAAATATTTGGCCACTGCGCTTTCTTCCAGCAGCTGCTTCGCATATTTGTTAATGTGATTTTTATTGTACGG